GGAGGAGAGAGAGAGAGGGAGAGAAAGAGAGGGAGGGAGAAGGAAGGAGAGGGAGAGAGACAGGGAGAGAGAGACAGGGAGAGGGAGAGAGGGCGAGAGACAGGGAGAGACAGGGAGACAGGGAGAGGGAGAGAGAGAGAAAGAGAGGGAGAGAGAGAGGGAGAGAGAGGGAGGGAGAGGGAGGGAGAGGAAGGGAGGGAAGAGGGGAGAGAGGGGGGAGAGGGAGGGAGAGAGAGGGAGAGGGAGGGAGGGAGAGGGAGAGGGGGAGGGAGAGGGAGGGAGAGGGAGGGAGAGAGAACCGTAAAGTCACACAGCAGAGGCTGAAATCACATGGAGGTGTTGAGTCTGCTGCACGGCCCTGGGAGGCAGCCAACTGGTCACCCTCTTGCTTCTCTCAACAGCTTCCAGAAAGGAGAGAGTTTTTCATTCAGGATACCAAGGAGGAGGGCGCTTAAACCTGTGAATGAGGCAGATGCAGACCCAGGAACCTGGAGAGCTCATCTCTCAGCTGTCGCATCTCCCTGGGAGGTCCTGATGGTCTACTGTGCTCTTGGCCGCACAGCACCCCCAGGGTTGAATTCAACCTCAGATGGGAGCAGGAGGAGCCAGGGCTTCTGCTGGGCAGGCAGGGTGCTGCAGCCGGCAGAGGCCCAAGGGTGCCATCGTGACTCTGAACACAGCACCTGCAGAGACAGGTCCTCACCAGCCGTGGAGAGGAGACCGTCAACCTTGTGCAACCAAGAAAGGAGAACTGTGGTGATGCCGCACTCAAGGGGAGGGACTTCTGGTTGGTCCACAGATGCCATGATGAGCTCAGATGAGTTGGGGGGAGGCAGGGCTGGGCCAAGACCTTGTCAGAATAGCTGGGGGGGTCTTTCATCACTTAGGGAGAGACTAAGCCGACTGCTTATCTGCAGAGAGGGAGACCAAGAACACCTGCTTGTTTCCTCCAAGAATCAAACCCCAAAGCCTCCCCTGAAGGGAAGCAGGTATTTCAAACAGTTTTAGCAGCTCGGCAGCACCGACCATCTTCATCCCCGAAATCGACTTAGTTTGTTGCAGAGTGAGCAACCATTGCAGAACACACAAATCCATTACAAATCACTTAGACATAGGAAGGCTTGAACATTTGATAAAATCAGCCATGACTTAAAATATCTTAACGGATGAGTAAATAAACTGAATCGAATTATCCAAAGGAAAGCATAGGGTGTTTTTTATTATTATTTTGTTGATTTTTTGTTACATTTGAAGATGTTTTGGTTTCTGTATTTGAAATACAAGATCTTTGTATCATTCGTTCTTTTCTTACACTTTGTTGTATTCGACGTACTTTTATTGAATTTCTAGGAAATGCCTTAGCTTGGCTAATTTTTATTCAATGATGGACATGTTTAGTTGAATGAATACCCTTACCCCCTTTTAAATTTCTGTTTAAATGACTGCACATAGCTTTCTCCACTTCTGCAAGTATTGCTTGTCCTTCTGCAAATGTCAGCAAAGTAGAACCCGTCCCTGTACAGAGATGATGCTAAATGTCTTCATAGCCTATGAGAGAGCGTCAGGATGACCTTTAAACACACTTTGGTTTTCTGTGAATATATATGCAGCCCATTTTAAAATGTTGTGTCTTTCAGCTCAATAATCCCGTCTGCTTCATCCCCAGACGCTCCTTAGACGAGCCCTCTTCCCAGGATGTCAGTCTTGCTTCCATTTGCAAAATTTGGAAACTGCAAAACACGACAAAATCAAACGCTAGACAAATACAAGGGAGATAGATATTCCGCAGTCATATTCTTCACTCAAGATATTTGTTAAACAACTGAAAGCCATTTTCCTGGAAATATTTAAAGACACAGTCAGGTTCTTATGTTTTAAAACAGGATAATTATAACTACTAGGAGCAGCATGTCTCCAACTTATAATGAAATCATTTGCAAAATATGTTTCAAAATGTTTGCACTGGGTAGAGGAGATATAGGTAATTCATGTTTTTATTCTTTTCTAAGTCTCCACGTTGTATATGCATTGCTTTCATGGTAATACAGGAGAGGGCAGACATTTTTGTACAATGTGGGCATAGATAGGTCCAGTTTAGGAAGCCAGCTGGGCACACAGCTCACCACGTAACAATGCCTGTGGAAAAGCCTCCAGCTACGTTTTGTCTCCAGGCATCGAATCTTTCAATCTGCTGAATCTCTGGCAGCGATCAAATGTGGAGCTTCCAAAATTATTCACACTACTTGCATGGAAATGAAGTGCACCAGATAAATAGAGAATGTCTGGATTTATATTTTTAAAGAAAAGATTTATTTATTTATTTATTTGAAAGAGTTATGCAAAGAGAGAGGGAGGAACAGAGCAGGCAGGGGAATCTTCCATACACTGGTCCCGTCCCCAGATGGCTGCAATGGCTAGGGCTGGGCCAGGCCAAAGCCAGGAACCTAGAACTTCATCCAGGTCTCCCGTGTGTGCAGGAGCCCAAACACGTGGGCCAACTTCTCCTGCTTTTTCCCAGGCTATTAGCAAGGAGCTGGATTGGATGTAGAGCAGCCAGGACATGAACTGGCACCATCTGGGATGCCTATAGGGGATGCCCACTGTGCTACAACACAGGACCCTGTAGTCACCAGTTTCAATTTGGCATTCTTGAATTTGAAACTCAACCTTAAAATACGTTACAGTCTTTTGAGAAAGGCAAGACACACACTTATGGTTGAGCAGAAGCTGTTCTCATGAGGAGCTGACAGCCCGGCACCACAGGGTGCACACGGTGGGTAAACAGAGCTCCTGCAGCACCAGGGGGATGGACAGGGTCTTTTTGGATTCCTTGCAGTGAACAATTCTGAGCAGAAAAGGAACAATGGGATTATTTCAAAGTGCATTTTCAGAAGACTACCCGGAAATTTATTTTTGAAAATTAAAGCTACAGCATGCCAGTGAACTTTGTCATTACCATGGAGAAATATAAAATGTATTTCATCATATTACTCACGAATAGAGGCGACCAGCCCTGACCAACCTACGCCAGTAGGCTGTGCTGCTAATGCCTTTGTATCATTCTTCCCTTCCTAGTAGGCGATAACCACAATACAAAGTTACATACAGAACTTGGCAGAGTGCAGGCTTCGAGGACTTTGCTTGTATTAATCTCAGGACTACTGAGAAACTGACAAGGCAGCTGCTCTTCCTCTGCCCATTTTGGGATGAGCAAGCTGATACTTGCACAAGGGTACATTGTCCTTTCATAGCAACCGCATGGAGCCACAAAGCAGGCACACACCCAGTTCTCCGTGCCCCAAGGTATGCACAGAGCAACACTTTTCAAAAAGATTTATTATTTCAAAATCAGAGGGTTAGAGAGAGAGAGAGAAAATTGTGGGGTGTGGGGGATGGGGGAGAGAAAGAGATCTTCCATCTGCTGGCTCACTCCCCAAATGGCTGCAACAGCTGGGGCTGGGCCAGCCTGGAGCCAGGAGCCAGGAGCCAGGAGCCAGGAGCCAGGAACTCCAACTGTATCTCCTACAGGGGTGGCAGGGGCCCAGGCACATGGCCATCCTCTGCTGCCTTCCCATGTGTATCAGCAGGGAGCTGGATTGGGGTTTGAATCCGTACTCCAAAATGGGATGCTGGCGTCACAAGTACTGCCTAGCCCGCCGCCCCACAACAGCAACTTCAGAGATACTTTTTAAAATACATGTTAACCCATGGCCGGCGCCGCAGCTCACTAGGCTAATCCTCCCCCTGTGACATCGGCACCCTGGGTTCTAGTCCCGGTTGGGGTGCCAGATTCTGTCCCGGTGCTCTTCTTCCAGGCCAGCTCTCTGCTGTGGCCCAGGAGTGCAGTGGGGGATGGCCCAAGTGCTTGGGCCCTGCACCCCATGGGAGACCAGGAGAAGCACCTGGCTCCTGCCTTCGGACTGGCGCAGCGCGACGGCTGTAGCAGCCATTTGGGGGTGAACCAATGGAAGGAAGACCTTTCTCTGTCTCTCTCTCTCACTGTCTAACTCTGCCTGTCAAAAAAAAAAAAATAAATAAAATAAACGTGTTAACCAGCCTGCTTATCTGTTTAGACAATCTCGGTGGCATTGTGATGTTTACTGAATTCTCCTTTCTTACCAAGAAAGTTGGAACTTGTGGCCATCACTGTGGTGTAGTGGGTAAAGCCACTGCCTGCAGTGAGGCACCAGTGTGAGTCCTGGCTGCTCCACTTCCAATACAGCCCCCTGGTTATGTGCCTGGGAGAGCAGTGGAAGATGGCTCAAGTCCTTGGGCCCCTGCACCCACGTTGGAGATCCAGAGGAGATTCGCAACTCCTGGCTTTGGATCGACCAGCTCCTGCCATTGTGGCCATTTAGGGAGTGAACCAGCCAATGGAGGACCTCTCTCTCTCTGCCTTTCAAATAAATAAATAAATTTTTATTTATTTATTTTTTATTTAGTAAATATAAATTTCCAAAGTACAGTTTATGGTTTACAATGGCTTCCCCCCCATAATTTCCCTCCCACTCGCACCCCTCCCATCTCCCGCTCCCTCTCCCATTGCATTCACATCAAGATTCATTTTCAATTATCTTTATATACAGAAGATTAATTTAGTATATATTAAGTAAAGATTTCATCAGTTTGCACCCACACAGAAACACGAAGTGTAAAATACTGTTTCAGTACTAGTTATAGCATTACTTCACATTGAACACATTAAGGACATATCCCACATGAGAAGTAAGTACACAGTGACTCCTGTTGTTGACCTAACAATTTGACACTCTTGTTTATGACATCAGTAATCTCCCTAGGCTCTAGTCATGAGTTGCCAAGGCTATGGAAGCCTTTTGAGTTTGCTGACTTCGATCTTATTCCTACAGGGTCACAGTCAAAGTGGAAGTTCTCTCCTCCCTTCAGAGAAAGGTACCTCCTTCTTTGATGGCCCCGTTCTTTCCACTGGGATCTACTTGCAGAGATCTTCCATTTAGGTCTTCCTTTTTTTTTTTTTTTGCCAAGGTGTCTTGGCTTTCCATGCCTAAAATACTCTCATGGGCTCTTCAGCCATATCCGAATGCCTTAAGGGATGATTTGGAGGCCAGAGTGCTATTTAGGACATCTGCCATTCTATGAGTCTACTGTGTATCCCGCTTCCTATGATGGATCGTTCTCTCCCTTTTTGATTCTATCAGCTAGTATTAGCAGACACTAGACTTGTTTGTGTGATCCCTTTGACTCTTAGAAAAAAAGAATGTTGGGAATCTCCTGCAGTGCCTTTTCTACCCCACGATTTATTCTGCACTGTGTCTGCCCTCTGATCGATCCTGACAGCTGCATGACTAACAGTTTAGCTTCTCAGTGTTTAACCTACTCGTGATTCGAGGTATTTCTGCATTTCATGCCTATAGCAGGCCATAGCAAGACCCTATTCTATGACCAGGAAAATCAGACTGAAGCCACAGCAAGAAATGAAATGCAGCGGAAACCATGGTCTAACAGCTGCTGTACTGCCTTCAGCTAAAACTGTGGAAAAGGCAGCGACACCTGCAACTTCTTTTCTTTTTAAGATTTATTTTATTTATTTGAAAGGCAGAGATAGTGGGGAAGAGAGAGAGAGAGAGAGAGGTATTCCATCTGCTGGTTCACTCCACAGATGGCCACATGAGCTGGGCTTGGGCCAGGCCAAACCAGGAGCCAGGAGCTTCTTCCAGGTTTCCCATGGGGTGCAGGAGCCCAAGGACTTGGGTCATCCTCTGCTGCTTTCCCAGGGGCATTAACAGAGAGCTGGCTGGGAAGTGGAGCAGCCGGGACTCCAGTCGGCACCCATGCAGGATGCTGGCTCTGCAGGCCAAGGCTTAACCTACACCACAGTGAAGGCCCCAACAGCAACCTCAAAACTTCTCAGCAGCACGCATGTGTGGCTCCCTGGATCCCGTTCCTTCTCTCACCAGTTGGCTAGATTGCAAGGGAAACAGGGAGAGTGCTTTTCCCAAGTCTGAACCATCTCCAAGCCTGACGCTATCAGACAGAACAGACAAAAAGACCTCTGCTTGGTCAGGGTGCCAGCCCCTCCCCAGCAGCTCCAGCTTGCCTTCCGCAGACGTGTTTGTCCGACACTGTCTGTGAGGTACTCCCTTGGGTTGCTGTGAGTGTGGTTGGCACTATCCACATCTGGCCCCCAAGTGTAGACCCAGGGTAGGCCCTGGACTCTCAAAATTGGCTTCACCCTGCTGCAGACACCACAAACCAGAATTCCCTGTGCAAGCTAAGATTTGGGAGGTTGACTCCTTTAAACTGTGTTAGAAATTGTTAAATGTCTTGCCAAAGTCAAAATACTTGCTCAATTTTGGTTGGCGCTATCAGTAGAACGTTACCAAGAAAGGAACCCATGCGAGTTTTGTCTACCTTGGTTTTTAGGGAACCTAATTTTTTAAAGATTTTATTTATTTATTTTAGAGGTAGAGTTGCAGACAGAGAGGGGGAGAGACAGAGAGAAAGGTCTCCATCCGCTGGTTCACTCCCCAAATGGCTGCAACAGCTGGGGCTGGGCCAGGCCAAAGACAGAAGCTAGAAGCTTCTTCCAAGTCTCACATGCAGGTGCAGGGTCCCAAACACTTGGGCCGCCTTCTACTGCCTTCCCAGGCCACAGCAGAGAGCTGGTGGGAAGAGGAGCAGCTGGGACCAGAACCGGTGCCTTTTGGGATGACAGTGCTGCAGGCAGACACTTAACCTACTGTGCCACAGCACCAGCCCCGAGACCATGTTTTGGTTCCAGTTCTAATGTTTACTTCCCTTTTCAAGTAGTCTGCTCTGGGAAGACGCCATTCCTCTTCTACATATTGAACCACAATCTACATCTCTTCATATGAAACTAATTTGGTCATATTTGTAATTATCTTTAAGGACAATCAAGAGGAATTTAAAAGCAATTAATAGGAGCCAAGCAATTTTAATCGTATTTAAAATCTTAAGGAAATGCGAATAGGTAATGGCTATGAAATCAAACCCTGTGCTAGAAAAAGCCAAATGCAATTAAGAACCGCGAAAAAGTAATTCATAAACGACTGGGAGTGTTCTGAATTTTCAGTGTGATGCAGAGTAAAGCCCTAGCAGAGAACGCTCATTTCTGTGTTTGAGTTAGAAATCCTGTGAACTTGTTGGAAATATGGGTTCCAAGAAATAAAGAATGAAAAAAAAAAAAAAAAAAGAAGCCCAGGCTCTGAACATGAGTGCTAACACTTCTGTAAATCTGCCAAGATTCTCAATACAACTGCCACAGTTTTGACGTTCAGAAGAGCACAGTGGAACTGCTGACATGCATGCCCTGTAAACGACTATTCACGGCATGAATGCTGCAGCCTATATGTGACCGCTTTCCCTGGCTGACTAATATATCAAGCGTGATGCTTGTTTTGTGCTCTGAAAAACTTTCTCCATTTCCATAGCAACCGCTTACATGTTGGCGGAAGCTGATGTCATTCAAGGTATTATTCGCTCTTAGTGAATTGATACTCAGAATGCTAGTAAGTTTCAGGGGGATAAAAAGAGGCGAGGACACACACCGGTGAAACACGGCTTAACCCCTTCTCTGCAAAGTGTCCTCAAACGCCCACGGAGAGCATTACCCAGGGCTGTTGAGAACGCGTCTGTACTCGTGCTGACCTGAGTTCTTTGCCCGTGAGGTTACTAGCATTGCATTCGTCTGCTAGGGCTGCCATATAAGAGATGTTACAGACTACATGACTTCAAAAGCAGATATTTATTTCATCACAGTTTTGGAGCATGGACGTCTAAGTTCTAGGTACCGAAAACTTGGCTCCTAATGAGGACTCTCTTTCTGGCTTGCAAACAGTTGTCTTCTCACTTGCCTGGAAATCAGGCAAAGGGGTTCTTACCAAGATCCCGGAAGAGGATTTTCAAAGGGAAGGAAGGGCTGGCTGGCCCCAGGGCAAGGGAGAGTCACATAAACAGAAAAGCAGCCCCTGGGCTTGACAACATGGAGAACCTGCTTCACTGGCTGCAGCTGTGAACAGAAAGTGAGGAAGGGGGCAACTGCACTTTACCAGAGGTAAGACTTTACAAAGAATGAAAATGGGCTGGCGCCGAGGCTCACTAGGCTAATCCTCCGCCTTGCGATGCTGGCACACCAAGTTCTAGTCCCGGTCGGGGCGCCGGATTCTGTCCCAGTTGCCCCTCTTCCACGCCAGCTCTCTGCTGTAGCCTGGGAGTACAGTGGAGGATGGCCCAAGTACTTGGGCCCTGCACCCCATGGGAGACCAGGAGAAGCACCTGGCTCCTGCCTTCGGATCAGCGCGGTGCGCCGGCCGCAGCGCACTGGCCACAGTGGCCATTGGAGGGTGAGCCAACGGCAAAGGAAGACCTTTCTCTCTGTCTCTCTCTCACTGTCCACTCTGCCTGTAAAAAAAAAAAAAAAAAAAGAATGAAAATGGCAGAGTGATTGCTCAATGACTGCCAAGATTGGAAGATAATCGTGTGCAACATTTCTGCACGTGCTATATGCGTACAGAAAATAGGTAGAGCAAGATAGTTAGACCCACAAGAGACAGAGACCTTCGTGAAGCAGCATCACATGGCAGGCGGGAGGGAGGCATTCTCCAGTGGAGGAGGAGGCTGCTGTCATGCAGGGTGCAGGGTGGGCAGACAGACGCGTTCTCAGAGCATCTGCAACCCCTCGCAGCCTGGAGCTGCACAAGGGCGCTTAGTGGATGGGCAGTTGGGGGTCGGGGGTGAGCTCTGTCTGCTACAGGTTGTTCCTTGGGCGTATTGAAGAAGGGCTCAGTAACTGGAGTGAACTGTTAGGATTTTTAGGGTGCTTTTATAAAACTCTATCAGAAAAAATATGAGTAGCCCTATACCCATGAATATTTTACTTTTTCTCAAATAACTCCAGTGTGCTTTATTGCTTTTGATCTTCCTCCTTTTCTCTGTCTTCTGGCCGTGCCGCTATCATGGAGTGAATTCAAACTCCCAGGCGGAAGTGCAGTGACTTGATCAAGGGGACGCAATTATAGAGTGAAAACATCGTAGTGAAGTTCCTCACGTTCCCGGGAATCTCCTTCAAGTGATATTCTGCTGGATTATATGCAAATACCGCCTAAAAGCCAAGGAGGAGTTACAGATCTCTGTGATGTCTTTGTGTTCTATTTCCTTTCTTATTGGAGGGAGAAAGGGATGCCAGGTGTGAGCAAATGGGAATTTTGAACTTGAAGCTGGGCTGATCACAACTTTCAAGTACCCTCGGAGAAATGGGGTGAGAGTATTATTTAGGTTACAAACTCTTGGCAAAACACAGTTACACTAATATAGGAGCTAACGGAGCTTTAAAAAATATTTCAAGAGTCCACTAAAGCTGAAAATCATTCAATGTCAATTATGGGTACGTGGGGGTCCAATTCTCACAGTTTTGAGCCTTTTTTCCCCAGTTTTTCTGCAAGAATTGATTTGGTAAACAGAATAGGTTTTTCAGTATTCCTCTGGGGCGTTGAGACAGCGGTCGCATCGCAGTGAGTGCTTCTGAAACCTTAGGCAGATTGGAGAACGGCCCTTCATTTTCAGGGAGAGAAGCTGTTCCAGGACGTTGGAGAGAATGGGAGGGAAAGCCCAGGGTGAAGGCTCATTCATTCATTGGGAGCCATTCGTTCACAGGGAGCCTCCGCTGTGAGCACTGGTCAGAGGGGATGCAGGCGGGAGCAGAGACCAGGCTCCTGCTTTGAAGGAGGTCACTTGCTCTCTGGGGCAGACGTAAATCTGACAAGTTAATCCACGACGTGTCAGCGGAGGCTCTCGTTTTGCCAGAATACAGCAGGGAAGAAGGAGGAGAAGAAAGGCTTTCTGGGAAAGTGGCCCTTCGACAAGGGCATAAAGCAAGTGAGGAGGTGACCCTTGTGCCCCGGGAGCAGGACAGAGACCAGAAAACAAGGGGCCACAGGGAGCCAGAAGGGGACAGGAGGAGAGGTAGGGCATGAAGACCAGGAGATGAGGCGGGGCCCACTCAGGGGCCTCTAGGGGATGAGCAAAGAGAAACACGACTGCACTCGGATTTTAGAAGTATTGTCCTTGCTACCGTATGAAAAAAAGCACACAATGAGAGTTTATTGTGGCTGGCACCGTGGCTCACTAGGCTAATCCTCCGCCTTGCGGCGCAGGCACACCGGGTTCTAGTCCTGGTCGGGGCGCCAGATTCTGTCCCGGTTGCCCCTCTTCCAGGCCAGCTCTCTGCTGTGGCCAGGGAGTGCAGTGGAGGATGGCCCAAGTGCTTGGGCCCTGCACCCCATGGGAGACCAGGAGAAGCACCTGGCTCCTGCCATCGGATCAGCGCTGTGCGCCAGCCAAGGCGGCCATTGGAGGGTGAACCAATGGAAAAGGAAGACTTTCTCTCTCTCTCTCTCACTGTCCACTCTGCCTGTTAAAAAATAAAAAATTAAAAAAAATTAAAAAAAGAAAGTTTATTGTGTTGGCTCAAGTCCAGATAGGTGTGGATCGGGCCAGGATGCTAGAACTGGCAGTGATGAGAGGCGGTTGGCCTCAGCCTGTAATTGGAAAAAGATAGCTGCAAGAGCATTGCTCAGAGGTCAGTGTGCAAAGCAATGAGCGACCCAGGCTGACTCTAGGGCTTTAGGGCCAAGCAAGTGGGAATGATCGAGTGGCCCCGTACTTTGATGGGCGAGAGCAGAGGGTGATAGGAAACAGCCTTGGGAAACGGGTGACGAAGCGGATGGAGACAGCAAGCAGCAGTCGACGTGGAATGTGGCGTTTAAATGCTTACGGGGAAGGGTGTGTCTGCCTCATGAGATGTGTCAGCTTAGCAGGATGCTGCCCTCCCCGTGTAGGGAAACAGACACCGAGGAACGCGCTTGGGTCTTGAATTCCCATGCCGCACATTACCCAAGTTGTCCTTACCACTTACTGCAAAGGGTGTCCCCACGGGTTTGAAGCAGGCACAGCTTACATTCAGTTTGTAAGAGAAATCTGACTTCGGGTCTTCACAGCCACCAAGAAGTAGTTTCAAAGGGAAGGCGAGGGTGTTTTCAGAGACGCCCTGGCTCAGATTTGACCCTGCTCGGCACTTCTTCCCTCCCTCCCGGCATCCCCGATTCGAGTCACCTTCCTGAGAGGCAGAGACAGGACACAAAATCACAAACGACCTTACTTAGGGCCTGCACACCTGATTGCATTGCTTTTTATCAAACAAAACAGAGATGATCTTGGAATGAGTTCAGGGATCCTGGCTTCAGCCTGACCCAACCCTTGGCTGTTGTGGGCATTTGGGGAGTGAACCAGTGCATGGAAGAGCTCTCATTGTCTGTCTCTCTTTCTGCCTTTCAAATAGAAATGAAAATAGAGATGAACAAATGAATCAACATCACTGATAACCTCATTGCCCACAGATAGGCAATATTAACATTGTTCACTATTCTAGATGTCTTCGTTGTATGTCAGGTTGATTAAAATACCGTCCTAGTTCTCTAACTCTGCACTGGCTTGTCCACTGAATAACAGGCGCTTGTTGGCCTTCTCTGCTGTTGCACATTCTTCTACAATGTCATTTGTAGGGGTGGTATAGAAGTCTACAATCTGGATAATCAAAATAGCAACTCTAGTCATCCGACTTCCTACATCATAGGTGACAGTGGCTCAAAATGCCTGCATAATGGACTGGAGAAAGTCCAATGCCCTCAGCAGAATTTTCAGATATTACTGGAGGTATTATTTTTTTCTCTGTCATCCCAGCTCCCATGAAGTCAGTTTTCCCTTAAAATCTTCTCCCTGCTGCACTGTGACTTCGCACTCCAGGCACACTGACCCAGACACAAACTGCAATTATTTCACTTAATAAAAGAAATCAGGAAGACGTGCGTGTGGCTGCCTGCAGACTGGGGGCGTGGGAGACATTCACTTTGCTAACGATCTGGGAACTGGCTGGACACCACTGGATACATTTCTTGGCTATGAACTTCATGTTCCTCTCGAAGTCCTTCTTCTATGCACGCTCACCAACCTTTCTGCCCTTTTCTCCCCAGAGAAAAAGCCAAATCATTTGCTCTCCTGCTTGGAAAATAACTAAGCTCTGAGCAGTGTGACCATGAGTGGAGTTCTGGTGGCTCCTTTGAGTACTCTCAGACTTGGAGGAGAAGTCGTCAGTCCTGCCTCCTACTCTGTGCCCGGGGTCACGTGTACGGTCAGAGAGGGTGCACCAAAACTCCTCCAATATGTCTCCTTTAAGTGGTCCACTGTGTTTTGCAGCAGGAGTGATCCTATGATAAATATCTTGGTGGCCAGCACCGTGGCTCACTAGGCTAATCCTCCACCTGCGGTGCTGGCACCCAGGGTTCTAGTCCCTGTCGGGGCGCCGGATTCTGTCCTGGTTGCCCCTCTTCCAGGCCACCTCTCTGCTGTGGCCAGGGAGTGCAGTGGAGGATGGCCCAAGTGCTTGGGCCTTGCACCCCATGGGAGACCAGGAGGAAACACCTGGCACCTGCCATCGGATCAGCGCGATGCGCCGGCTGCAGCGCGCCAGCCGCGGTGGCCATTGGAGGGTGAACCAATGGCAAAAGGAAGACCTTTCTCTCTGTCTCTCTCTCTCACTGTCTGCTCTGCCTGTCAAAAAAAAATTTAAAAAAAAGAATATCTTGGTGACCAAACTTCATTTTACATTCTCTGTCTCCTTATGTATGAGAATTTGCATGCAACGTATACAACATTTTTTAAAGCTTGTCATAGGATTGGTATCGGGTTTCTAGAAAAGCCGTTCCCATTTTTACTCCTCCGAGCAGAGTGTGTGAGGACATTTGTGTGCTCTGGATGCCTTCATTTCTTCCTGATTTTCACCTATCTGATATTTGAACATCCATCTTGCTTTTCAATGGGCATTCCTGTAACTATTAATAGGGGTAAATATTTTTTCACATATTTAGTGGAAATATAATTTTTTCCCTGAATTGTTTGTTGGTCTGCTGGAAGTTCTTTTTAATGATTTTCATGCTGATTTTAAGAGTATTTGCAGTTTAGACTCTTTGTCACCTTTTCTGGTTGTGATGTGCCCTACAGTTGTAAACAAACACCTGTCAAGCTGTCCTGAGCCAGAGTTTGAGAGGACCTCTGTTCCTTTATGCTTTCTGCCTGGAGGTGTGGCAGGCGACCTCTGGTTAGCCTCAGGACCACCAAGGAGCTGAGATAATGCTAGCTGATGCTGCAAAGTCTTGGGGCAATTTGTTACACAATAGCAAACAAAAGCAACAGCTCTCTAAGTCTTTCAATCCTGTGTAGCACAAAACATCTTACTCAGATGTGGTGGTTCCATTCATGGTTTTCTGGCTTTATGGTGATGCAGAAACCGCAGGGTTTCAGTAGAGAACACCCTGTGAATTTTGAATCAGAGTTTTTTCCTGGGCTTGCAATGTGCAGTGTGATGTTCTTGGGGTTCTGAGTGGCAGCGGAAGTGCAGCTCAGAGCCGGCCCCTCCATAGCCAAGGAGCTCACCCACACTCCACAGCGTGTGCGGTGCCCAGCACAGATGTTCCTGGGTGAGGACGCTTAAGTGTGTTTTTGACTCTACATCTTCTACCTAAGTACTTTAACTGATTACATAGTGTTATCGACCAGGTTTCTTCATTTTGGTTCTTTGACATCTTGGAGAGGTTGACAATATGTATATGTGCATGTACATGTATATATTTATACATGTATGAAATATACACCATGGCACCTAATTTCAACACAGTTATTTGGGGCATGGAATTGTGACATTCTGTCCTGTATCTTCAGTGCCTGGGATGCACACGACGAGCAAACAGCTGGGGGAAAGCAGTGTTCAGTACATAGCAGCAAGCCTCCCAGATCTTCTTTGGGAATGACAGTCCTTGTTTGTGAACTGTTTCTTCACTACACCACGCGTGAACGTCATGAGGCCCTCTCCAGTGCACAGTGTGGGTGAGAGGTAGGAGGAGCCTCATGGCCAAGCGTGCGAACACCACCTGGCTGCCATGATACCCTTGTGGCTTCTCTCGTTGAGATGTGCGGCGTTTCTCCTACCGGCACAAAATGCTTCGTTTGCCATCATATTCCCATCATTCAACACTGATAGGCACGCGGTGTGAGGGCGGTGCCATGAGGAGAGGGCTTCGCTGAC